GAAAATTTTAGTGGGTCTAAAGGACCTGGCAATAAACGAATAGGGAATGCCGTCCACGCCCGGTGCCGAATCCCTTACGTGGTCCAAAGCACAGCTTAGTTCTTCAAAAGAGCAGGGGTCATTCATACAGTCAGAAGTTGACAAGGAGGGATTTATAGAGGCAGATGCTTCTGAATAAACAAAAGGGGGGGATAATTTTGTAATAAAATCCACAACCCAGGGTGTCGGGTCGTTAGACGAGATGTTCTCATGATCAGTCTGAGATCTGCGAAAGAATTTTTTTTTCTGAATTCTCTTCCAGACTATAGACGGGTGGGTGCAGGGTTCCAGAGATTCGCAGAATGCACGCCACCTGAAATTATTTTTTTTGCTCAAAAATCTTCTCTTGTGAGCGGAAATCTTTTGGAATTTTAAATAATTCTCAAAGATAAGTCACATGCGAATTCAAGTTCTACCCGATTTCGTTCCTTGACTGACGAAGAACATTCCGAATCCCACCATGGGGAAAGGAAATTTTGCTATTTGCAGAGTTTTTCAAAGGGTTAGTTTCATCTGCGGCTGACAGCAAACATGAGATGAACTCGGAATATATAGACAAAACGGTTGGGGTTACTCGGACCAAGGAGTACATGTCCCAGGCAGCCTGTCTAAGCCTGTATTTAAGTAAGGGAGGGGGGCCTGGTGTGAGGCTAGGTGGGGAATCTCCTACTGAAATTAAGATAGGTAGGTGATCGCTTCCAAAGGAATTTATAAGAACAAGCCAGGAGGTAGAAGGGGCTAAGCTAGGAGAGACTAAAGTTAAGTCAGGGGCGCTGGCATTTTGAAGGGGGAAGTTCTGCGTGTAGGAAAACCATAATTAATTATACATAAATTTGTGCTGTCCAGAAGATCGAGAAAAGCAGAGGATAAAGAGTCGCAAATATAAGATCCGATAGCGAATGGCGTATATTGAAATCTCCTAAAACAATTAGGGGGGAAGGGAGGGATGAGAGGCTCACGGATAATTCTGTGATGAGGTCAAGGCTAGGTTGGGGAATGTAGACAGACAAATGATTTGTTTTGTGCTTTAATAGCGACAACATGGAGGCTTGTGGCGTGTGTGGGGATGGAGAATTGTGTAGATATGATGTTCCTTTTCACTAGTAGGGCGCGTCCAGCTCATCCATCACTCCTGTCAGTCTTCAGAACTCTGAAGAGGACTCCCGGTTTTAAACCATGTCTCGGAAATACCAAAAACTACGAGGTGATATTTATTTATCAGAAAAATAAGCTCGTGTTTTTTATTTTTTATATTACGGGCGTTCCATTGTAGAATTGATGTCATTGTTGGATAAAAGAGATTGTAATAATTTTGAGATCAAACTTTGAATAATTTGAAGGCCATTGTACGGTAAGATGTCATTGAATTTGGATGGTACTTTTATTACTAAATTAGTTATAATATCGGACAGGTTGTCATTTGGACTAGTAGAACAATGATGATTATTATTTGAAGCGTCCCTAAAGAGAGAACACCCATTAGGATGCAAGGATTTTGGCGTGGATGTTATGAGGTTATGTGAGTTTCTATCATATCCTTGGGTTTGTTCTTGTCTGCGGCGGCTTTCTGTAAAAGTTGTCTTACGATAAGCTGTGGAAAGAATCTGGGACTGTAGGCGGACAGGGGTACAGGGAGGAGACCTAACTGTTTGGGGGAGCGGGGAAAGAGGGGAGTCTGCGGGCGCTGGGTTGGGGATGCCATGTCAGCATATGATTTCCGGACAGAGCTGAATCCTCTGGAAGCTTCTAGGTAACCAATATTGTCTTTAGCCATCACTTTTTTTATTTGCTTTTGACGGGCATGCTCTGGGCACGCACCGTGAATCTGTAGCTTTATGGGAGGCAGAACAGAGAAGGCAAGACACAGCATCATTTGGAACGGTACAGGAGGAGCCATCATGATTCTGGGCACATTTGGAGCAGCGCGGATGAGAACGGCATTGTTCACGAACATGTCCAAAGCGGCAGCACTTGTGACATTGAATTATGGGTAGAGTATATAGGTCCACTGGGAGAGACATATTAAAACAAAAGACTTTCTCCGGGAGGATCTGTCCCAAAAATGTCAATACCACAGTGGCAGATGGCTCCCAAGTGGCTTGTCCTTCAATTATACGCTTTTTATTTAGCCTCCTAGCGTTTATAACTTTAACCTCGGGGGGGCATTTGATGTAGTGAACCAATTCCTCGAGGGACCATTCCAAGGGGATCTGGTGAACAACACCATTGCGAGTGAGGTGGAATCGGGGGATTATAGCAGAAAGTTTTTGATTATTAAGGAGTGGACTCTCAATAAAGTTGTTTGCATCTTGTGGTGTTTGGAAGTAAATTGATACTTTGTCCCTGCCAATGCTTTTTATTTCTAAAATTCCCGAGACTTTGCTATTGTAGATTGTGTGGGCGATGTTTAAAGCACGCATTGAATTTGTGGTAGCAGAGGAGTCACTCTCTGTGCGAGAAACATGGACCAGAAAGGATCCATGTTTCTCGCACAGAGAGTGTTGTTGATGTTGTTATATAGATTTTAAGACTTTCGTGGTTATTCACTAAATTGTTTCTGTTGTCCATGGGCATCGTTGTTTGAGTATTTCAAGTCAGAGTTACTTTCGTATCTCTCCAGGATATACGTTTGTTGTACTGACGCAGACGGCGGCGGCGGGAGTCTTGTCTTTTTAGCGTAGCTATCAATGTCCGCGCAAGCAGGGCGCTTGCTCTTTTGACCACTGATGTTGATCTCCATTGAGCTAACGGACGGAGATACAGGTAGAGAACGAGGCCCCCTATGAGGGGGCTCCGCCTCATCGATAGGATCACAGAACATAAGGGAACTTATCTCTATGTTATTTATTTACCACCACCAACACAAAATCCGACACAATGTTAAACTCTCAGTGAAAAATTAATTAATTTTTTCTTTTTTTTTTGCAACTATTAAAAATATTTAAATGTGTATTGAATTGATATTCAATTATTTTTTATGTGAAATTACTCCACTAGTTTGTAAAAATATAAATTAACTCCACGTCGGGAGTCTTGTCTTTTTAGCATAGCTATAAATGTCCGCGCAAGCAGGGCGCTTGCTCTTTTGACCACACGGTCCAGAACACCTTCACACCTTTCAATCGTGACCAATGCGCTATGATGTCTCAAAGTTTTCCGACAAAATGGTGAATAATATTGACCGTCGACAATTAATAGACGCCGTTGACATAGCAACGTGGGCGGAGCCAGCGCGCGAGTTTATTGACCTTGGTGGCCGAATTGTTAGCTCTGTGAGCGCTGGCAAAGAGGTCCCAGATTCGACTTCCGGTAGGAAGGATGGTAATTGGTGTGGTTGATGTTTGCCCTTAATTTATTTTTTAAAGCGTCAAATGCATCAATAAATTTGCACTGATTTTAGTTCGTCACGGCTTTGAACTTCGTTAACATACACACGGTCTTTAACTTCGTTCACCTCACAAAAAAAAAATCACTGAAGTACAGTCGGGTGACCTGGGAGACCAAGGTACTGGTCCACCGCTGCCTATCCATTAGTCTTCGTACTTACTCGTTAAAATTTATCGCACACCGCATTTCATCCTATATTTCTATGGGCATTCGCTGCCGGCCACATCCGCGTGCGTGAATCGATAATGTAAACTTGACCGTGGCTTAGAAAGCGTTAGTTTATCGCTAAAATTGTGCTTAGTTGAGGATTCCTTGGATCCACCAAGCCCTGAGCTCGTAGACGAGAGACGCTTTGTCCGCGCTGCACCGTCTTCGAGCTTCGTGAAGACTCCAACCACTTTCGATAAAACAGGGTTCACTCGTAATACTAATACATCATTACGCAATGAAACACGAGTTGCGCCGGGAACAGCAACGGACGGGTACCGTGTACCCAGTTTTCAATTCACAAATCAACTAGCAATCATGCGTCGGTGCCGTCGTGCAGACATGCTGCCGTCAGACACGGCGGAGCTAAGCGCTCGAGTTTTATTTACTATTTTTTGAGGGAACCACGCGTTAGAAATTATTGGGAAATGTTAACAATTTGAAACAGCAAAAAATGGGAATTTTTTTCACAGGAAAAAATAGACAGTGATTTTTTTATCACCCTGTATAATAAAATTAATCGATCGTGTTACAAATTATTTTGGGTCGTTGAAAAATTGACATATTGTAGTAATTTACCAACCTACCTCAGCTGTTATTGTTATCCCTAATAAACGGCTCATATGTGTAGCATTATTTTAAATTTAAGACATATATACCATATGAATGCAATAAATATATTGAGTATTGAGTATCTATTTTTCTCTTAGAGGATGGAAATTTTTTTTCTTTTCCGATCCATAAACTACACTTTTACTGAAGTTCACGAAGACCTATGAAAAGACGTGAATCGAATCATCATGAAATTGTGTTATCAAAGTAGCATATTTATAAAAAACGAAAATATTTTAAATATAATTATTAATACAAAGATTGAACACTCAGAAAAAATTACTTCGATCCGGCCGGATTCGAACCGACGTCTCCTAGCATACCGTGGCAGACGCTATGCCAACTAAGCCACGAAACGAACCAGCGGACGTCACGAATTTTTTTGTGTTTGTTGTCGTGTCTTTGTATTTGGGTTTCAACGACTTTTTAACCGTAGCGCCATCTATGAGAAATCTTAAGTATTTCGTCACCGGGTTAGATACCTTTGCAGGTACCAGCCCTGGCGAGAGATGTTGCTATTCATTATATTTAATTTTTTTTTAATTATTATTTTTACAAACTAGTGGAGTAATTTCACATAAAAAGTAATTGAATATCAATTCAATACAAATTTAAATATTTTTAATAGTTGCAAAAAGAAAAGAAAAAACTTAGAGGATTAAATTTGGCTTCATTGCTTTTAATCCGATGCCGTGAAACAATGTACAAAAAAAGAAAGAAAGAAAGAAAAGTAACCTACACCACGTGCGATATTATTTTTGTGGAGCTATAGTTTGTGTGTTAAAATTGGAAATAAAATTACTATTTAGTTACATAGATTATTATGAGAACGACAGTTAATTTGAAACTAAACCAGGAGTTTTATTACAAGTGACTATATCACTAGAAAGAACGAAAAATAATTCGGTAACATGGGAAATGGAAGAAAATTTTTCGGTAAGAAGAAGAAAGGTGGTTTGAAACCGACAACCAAGAAGAAAAGGAAATTGTTACGAGAAAAAGAGGCCACAGTTAATAAAAAATCATTATTCAATAGATATAAGAATAAACAGAAGGTGGAAGAAGAGTTATTAAAGAAAAAACAAATGGAAAGGCGGTTTCAACAACACCAAGTTGCGTATTCCGATAGTGAAGAGGAAGAGGATGCCTTTGGTCAGTTGGTGTCGTGTTTAGGTAACGTTAAGAAAAGGACAGTAGCAGATAGTGATGAGAGTATTAGTGAATATAGTAGTGATATTTCTGAAGTCTCAAAAAGCGATCACGAAGTGGACAATGAGTTGGAAGGCAATGTTAATGATAATATGCTTCAAGATGGTAATGATAAAGATTCAATAAGTAAATCAGATGGAAGATATAGTGATGAAGAGGAAATGGAAGAAAATGCTGTAATTATTTATTGTTTGTAATTTTACTCTCATTAAAAGTGTAAAATCCAGCTTGAACATGGTTCTTCATGGAAATAGATTCCGAAAAATATTACCTCCGCAATTATTCGCCTTCGCTTAAAATCTCCATCCCGTTAATATTAACTTCCTTCAAACATTAGTCCACTCTCCTTTTGTGCATATGCTGTGTAAATTTATAAAAAAAATCTGTAATAGTCTAGTGTAGGTTCTCTGTTGTTGTCATCGAGTTTATAATGGCTGTTGTAGATTCTCCTCTCAGTGAATTCTGTTGAAATTAACCAGTCAATTTTTGAGTAAAAACGTGTGTTCCTGAACTTGACATTGGCAAAATCATTGAGTACTTCAATGGGGCCATAACATTTAAAAGATGAAGAATACTGGTATTTGAGTATACAATATTATCATGGAATTAGGTATTAATATGTGTAACTCAACTATTCTAATAAAATAACGAACTATTGGTTTTCATTGCAGGCAGTTGAAGAAGTTGAAATAGAGAAAGATCTTCCAAATGATCCATTCACAAAACATTTCCAACATGATTTGTCAGAAGAGTTACTTGTATCTTTATCAAATACCCCACACACTGTAGAACATGTGATTAAAACCTGGCCTGTATTTGGAAACATATCTGTGACAATTCCAAAACCAATTGAAACAGCAAAGAAATTGAAACCCAAAGTTTCTATACTTGAAAAGAAAACCTTTGCAGCAGTAGGTACTCCACCACAATCAATGCAGAATATAGATTTCAACCAATTGCATATAAAATCTCAGATACAAGGTAACATTGTGTCAGCAAACAAGAATAACTTGATAAAAAAAGACTTAGAACTTACAGAGATCTTCACACCTCTTCAGAAGGATCTTTTTGCTATATTGAATAACTATCAAGATCTGTATTACCCTGAAAGAACATTTACAAATGCTGATGAAATTAGATACATATATTGCTTACATGTTGTCAATCATTTATTGAAGACAAGGACCAAAATCATACATCACAATGCTAAGTTGGCAAAGAAACCTGATCTTTCTGATGATTTTAGAGATCAAGGTTTAGTAAGGCCAAAGGTATAATTTTTTATTTACTTACAATTTTAGCTTGTCAAGTGTTTCAATGTATATAGGAGATAATCATTAATCAGGGCTGTTAGATTTGCACAAAACACTTGTGTGACATTTCTTCAATTCCAAACTTTACTAAGCCGAGCCTGCTTATATGAGAAACTGATAAAAGATGGATTCTAAGTAGGAAAATTGCATACTAAATATACTCTGTGTATACAATTTATTATTGCCCTCTACCTTCTTTACAAAATTACTAAAGTACTGGCACGCTATGATGGCCGTTTTGACAGATTACAATAGTGAGGTGAAATCTCAATTCATAAAAAATATAATCAAATGAGAGGTCGTATCTATAAGTTTTTAGATTTACAACTAATATTGCAAGGGGTTGCTGATTAAAAAGTTTTGATAAAACAAAGTCAAAGTCAAAGATTGTTTATTCCATACGTAAAATAAATTTACACTTGAAAAGTCACATTTAAGCTACTGCTCGTTCACTACGCTGACCTCCCTGAGAAGAACGAAACTAAAAACGAAATAAAAATGTTTACTTAATGTAAATTTTGTATTAAATGAAATTTTCAAAAATTTCGAATTTCGAAAAACAAATGGCGAGTTGTGTTGTAAAATTATACATACCATAAATTTTATTGTACGTGTCTATTGACAACAATGTACAGCAATTAGCTCCTTCAACATAGTTGTCAAACTACCTCTGTTGCGCAAAAGCTACCGTGCCGGTCTGCCACGCAGAGGACCCAGCCTTCATTCCTGGGCTGGGAGAAATATTTGTATGGCCTACATTTATTTCTCTCGTGAGTTTGGGTGTAATTTGCGGTTGTCTATGTGTCTGTCCATGGCACCCGCGACACAGGGTTTCCCTAATGTGGGGCTATGTTGAGTGTGTGCGTTATTATTATTATTATATTTATAAATTAATATGAAACTTAATGAACGGACAAACATCAAAAATGCCATGATAGCGTGCCGTACTGTAGCTTACTTTCTCACTGAGTGATAAGTTTAAGTAGTGCATTTTATGTAATTTTCTTTCAGGTTTTAATTATGGTACCTTTCAAAAATGCAGCATACAGGATAGTAAATACAATCATCGACATTTTGGTTCCAAAAGAAGCTGGTCAAGTAGTAAACAAGAACAGATTTGAAGATGACTTCACTGGAGGAGAGCTCATGATGCCTCGTAAAAATCCTAAGCCAGAAGATTATGAACTAATGTTCAGTGGAAATACTGATGATACCTTTAGGTTGGGCATGAGTGTTACAAAGAAAACTCTTAAGGTATAAAACTTATTTCTTTAATTTCTATTTATAGCATATATTCTATAATACTTCAAACAATTAAAAAATATGTATTATACCTATATTTTTACATATTATAATAGATTATTACAACTATAATTATGTCGTCGGCGTTATCTAGAAAGCGACATTTCGAAAAATTTATAAAGGGAGCATGTGTTACATTTTAATGACTGTTTTAAAATATTTATGCCCTGTTTTCAAATTCAATTTTAGTTAAGTTTAAGTTTTAAAAATCTGTACCAATTATACATAAATGTATTGGTTTTCACCAGTACTTTTGTCTATCATTGGTTAAGATTTTTTAAAACCAATTTAATTTACAATGAAAGGTAATCTTATTTGATCGTAATCGTCATCCACAGCCCGACGTCAGTCACTGCACTCCTATAGTTTGTCTCACCCAATTACTGCCTGCGTTTTTGACTATATTGTCTACCCATTTCGTTACCGGACATCACACGTTTCCATAGCTACTATTTGGCCACCATTCAGTTGAAACTTTATCCATTTCAATCCATCTGTCATTGCCGCACTTGGCAATATGTCCAGCTCTGTTCCATTTTAGCTTCGTTATCCAATCTCGTATGTCCTGGATCTTAGTTGGATTTAATAATAATATCATTTATTTGAAATATTCAGAAATTCATGTACACTTTGAACACTCAGATAATTTTGATGCTGATTGTGCAATCAGATATAATTATTTTAACTTTATTGACAATATATGACTTTGTCATAAGGCTTCTTTTCGCAGTCTTGAGAGGTCCTGTGATGTGATGTAGAGTTGCAGTTGAAGCTCTGCCCGCCTCTGTGCATATTTGTACCACCCGGCACCAATCCCTCCTCCACTATGTCATGCCAATTTTGTGAGCGGGATGCGTCTCTTGTGCGAATGGGACAAAGCATATTCCCTGTAAAGAATACAACCTATTTTATAACAATATATCGAGAACTATCGTGAACAGACAGTAGGTGTCGCTCTGTGATGATTTTGCAGAGGCAGGCTTAGACTATCCGATCCAGCAATTGTTCTCGTTTTCGATTACAGTTATACACAGACTTCTACTCATCGGACATTATAATAACATCACCGTTAGGCCTCCGTATGATCGTAGGCGCCGACGGTGAGGAAGACAGAGACTACGACTTTCTAGCTTCGATTGAAGTACTCATACTAGACCAGGCTGATGTCTTTCTTATGCAAAACTGGGATCATTTGCTGCACACTTTGGAACATTTCCATCTGCAGCCGAAAAAAACACATGGTACTGATTTCTCTAGAGTCAGATCTTGGGCTGTTAATGGCTGGTCTAAATATTATAGGTAAGTTTGTTTTGTTATTTTTATCATTACTGGTATTCCGCAATATATTTTGTAATATGTCATTCCCTTGACTGGCGATATTTTTTTCACTTGTTTGTCGTTTTAAAAAACATTATTAGCATCAACGACAGTCAAAGCGCTTAGTTTCTACCATTCGTCGCGCTCTACCTAAGGCGTGAACCCACTTAAACGGTAACACAATGGAGTTTATTATCTTGTACTTAGAGGAACTAGTTTTTTGTTGTGTGTAAGAATATAAAATAATAAGTTGTGGTGTCGTCGCCACGATACGGTACCAATGTAAATGGTGGAAAAGGATAAAGCGTGAAACCCGCAGACACCTTCTTTCTCTCCTTCTTTTTCTCCTGGCCCGGGAATCGAACGTGGGACCACACACATACATACACATATTTCTTCCCGCCTGGGAATCGAACCCAGGACCACTGCGTGGCAGCCCGGCAATGGTAACCGTTCGGCCACGGAGGTAGTGTGTGCGTTAAATGTATTTTTTCAAAATCTTTGGCTGTTTAAAACTAATCCAAAATTTAGGATTGTATCTTGTGTATGTTTAACTTCTTTCGAAGTTGTGAAATGGGTGGCTGTACTACAGGTTCAGATGTTTACTTATTAAAACATTTTATTTCCAGACAAACCTTAGTATTCTCATCATTGCTGTTGCCAGAAATAAAAGCCATATTGAATAAAAAATGCCAGAACTATGCTGGAAAAGTACTTGTAGAGAACCCAGTTGACAATGGAAGCATACAGCAAGTGTTATTACAGATCCCACAGATATTCCACAGGTAAATAAATTATAATGAAGATATGTAAATACTACGTAATACAGACACTTCATTAACTTTGGTCTACTTTTTAAATTGTTTTTGTAGCTGTAACTTTGCTTCGAAGTCTGGTTATCTCAGGTTGAAATAATAGTTAAGTAGAGTAGGATGAAGGAGTATGTTGAGTTGACGTAAACCACAAATTCCATAAAAAGTAAATATATTAAATAAAAGTGTACAATATAGATTTGAATGCTCATCTGTGGCCGATCGCTAGAGAAGCGAGTTGTCAATTACCATTATGATAATTTACGCGTACAACAAGTTAACAAATATTGTATTGTGCAAAAACCATACCTACTTCAAATAAAATGAATTTAAATTGCTTTCATGTGTTTGTGTATACTTCATATAATAGAAGATATTTAATAGATTTATTTCTAGTAGCAGTAGAGGTCTACCTTTTTTTGCCGCCAAGCAGTAATTTTTTTTCGTTTTGCGCCACTCAGAGCTGTAAATCGCAAAGATCTGAAGGGAACTGCCACTGCGCCGGTCACCCCAAGACACCAGTATTTTGAGCATTACTGCGTACCGCTTTGAAAGGGTGCTGTTGAAATTAAAGGCACATGGGACTTGTTTACTTATGTCTCAGGGTTTCTAAAATAAACTCTTTACGATTTAAAGATCCGAGTGGCACTGCAACTGTTATGGTTAGGTTATTATATTATTGTGGACTTGTTCGTACCATCACTTGATATTATGTATAAAAATATAATTATAACTTTAAAATAAAACCGACCTCAAAATTTCGTGGAATTACATCTATTAGCCAAGTTTTATTGAAATCGATTACCGGTAAGTGCGCCAAACCGGATTCATCCCCTTGGAGGTGGAATATTTTTGTTCAAATTGAAATGGGACCAATACTGAGGTACCCTCTTTCCAACAAAAAAGAATAATCGAAATCGGTTCACAAATGCCGAAGTAATCGCGTAACATACATAAAAAATACGGTCGAATTGAGAACCTCCTCCTTTTTTTGAAGTTGGTTAAAAAGATTTATATTCTCTGTTAACCAGGGATTGAACACTTGACTATTCCCAGGTTCACAGCGGTAAATCCTCTAGCCTCAGTGGATTCGCGTTTTGAATATTTCCTCAAGGAAGTCCTGCCGAAACAGCGCGACTCGCTCATGAGCCACACGCTCATCTACGTGCCCAGCTACTTCGACTACGTCCGCATCAGAAACTATTTCAAGAAGGAAGATATCGGATTTGTTCAGATTTGTGAATATTCTAAGGTTAATGTAGAGTGTTTTTAATATAGCTACAGTAACACTGAATTTCTATAGATTTATTTCTATTCAGCCTTCAGTATAATCTGTTTCAAATATAGACCTAGCTAAAAATAAGAACTTTGTATTCGAATATTTCCGTTTGGCAGACTGCAGCAGATCCTCATTAAAATGTGTAGTGGGGGAAAATGGACAATCATTGCATTTCAAACTCTCTTAATGTTTAACTATGACGTCCACTGACGTCGACTTTGACGAGAGATTTCCACTTCTAAGTTGGTGTATGGGTCTATACTGTTCTAATTGTGTAAATATTATTAGAATAATTAAAAAACAAATATAGTAAATAAATATTAGACAACATCACATATGTTGCCTGATCTCAAAATAACTAAGTAAGTAAAGCACCGGTGTTATGAAAATCGGAAACAACGACGGTACCACAAACACCCAGACCTGAGACAATATAGATAAGTTCATTTTCTACATTGACTCGACCGGGAACCGAACCCGTAACCTCAGTGATGGCGACACCATGAAAACCGATACGCTCGACCACAGAGGTCGTCAAAAATAGATACATGTATGATGCTTTCACATAATATCTTACTCCACTATATTACCCCGCACAGGACTCAAAGATAGCTCGAGCGCGAGACATGTTCTTTCACACGGAGGCTCACTTTCTGCTGTACTCGGAGAGAGTGCACTTCTTCCGGCGGTTCAGGATCAAAGGCATTCGCCATATCATTTTCTACCAACCGCCTACCTATCCGCATTTCTATTCGGAAATGTGTAACCTTATGCAGGTAAGATTGTTTTTATGCACGTTTTTTATAGAATACAATTTCTATCAGTTCCATTACCCATCTAAAACCAAAAAAGTAATATCTTCCTACAGAAGCACCCTGTCACTTCAAATGTAAATCAAAAAGTTATTTTGTAAAAAAATGTTATTTAGAAGGTTGACTTTTTAAAACCTGGAATAGTAATGCTAATACATGTAATATTGACTTTCGACACTGTTATTTCTAGGCTCGGCGGACTAAAGCACGTAAGTCCAAATCCAACAACATTTAAATTAATACAAAATTAATACATCTACTGGCTAAAGCACATAAATTAAATTCATATGTTAGTAGAGGCGTCTTTTGAAATTTATCATTCTCTTCACATCTTCCTACATTATAAACAACAAAAATTACTATATATTAACAAATATTATAATATTTATATATACTATTACAACAAATATTATTATATATTAACGAATGAACCACTTTTTGACTTGTGTGCTTTAGTCCGCCGACACTAGATTTGTCTTGACGATACAACATTTCACAAAAAATACTGCAATATGACAAAATACTAAATCCAATGTCGCTTTTGTAGTTTCAAAGCACGTTAGTTACCTTTTGAAAAAAATTATTACTTTTATAACCATATTAAAACACAATACATAAGCTGATTAGCCTGATATATAACATGCATCGGTCTAAACATTTCGCAAATTATAACTAAGTACTTATTACACTTCGACGATGTTCTCACGAATCGATAGTTGCAATCGGTTTCTAGTTACGACGTTTAGATCGTGTATTACATTACAACATAAAATATGTATTACATAACAAAAAAGCGAAACAAAATGTATAAAAACACTTTTAATAGCTAAATTTTACTATACGCTTAATGAATATTTAGAACATATAAATACGTATAATGTTAAATGCATAAATGTAAATATTAAAGAAATTGTACAGATACATTTAATAAAGTATTTACTAAAAAAGAATTATTAAACTTATGTAATTTAAATAATGTAATTGTAAAATGTTGTAAAATTAATGAGTTGTAAATTTAATTATTAGATATATTATTATAGAATAAGATTAGTTTAACGAATTGTGCCTTCTCTAAATAAATTGTTTTATTTGTTCTGTGCCCTTACAGGGTCCGTAATGTAATTATACCTAAATATATACCTACCTAAACACATGGTCTGCAAATAATGTATCTTGAGTATTAATATAGAAAAATATATTTAAAAATACAATTTTCACAGGAATCAAACCAAAATAAATACGGCGGCAGTGAGTTTAACATGACGGTGACAGTCATCTACAGCCAGTATGATCTGCAGCGCGTTGCGGCATTAGTCGGCACACAGCGCGCCGCGCGGATGGGCCGTTCGGACAAAGCTGTGCATATGTACATGACTGGAGATTAGTCTCTATTGTTAAATATATTTGTTGTATATAACGATTCTTGATTTTTTTTATTGTCATATCCTTTTTTTTCTTATACTACGAGTGTGGCGTCCAGCGTTTGGCTCCAATTTCATTGGATTTGCCAATTTTTGGTAATTCTTCCAAATAATCTTCGCTTCCTTCTTGAGACTTCGGGATATAATTGTCGTCGCAGGAATTTCTTTGTTATATTGGAACTTTGATGTGGGTTTTTGGATATTAATAGGATATAAAAAACGGGGAAAGGAAATCGCGTAATAAAAATAAAAGCGAACGGAATTTTGCAAAGGTGATCAACAGGATAGGGTAGGTAGGATGTTATGGGTAAATCTAAACAATGAAAGATGGAAATTATGAATGGAAATGGAAATGGGATGGTAATAGCTGAAAATAATGACAAGTAGATAAATAATAATCTAATCATACCATATAAATGAAAAAATTGTTTACCATAGACATCACAAACCTGTATCTGGTAAACTGGTAAATTATTTTAGTAAGTTTATGGATTATCACGATGTTTTACTACTGTGATATTAATTTTTTTTTCTAGTTATAATTATTAATACAAAGATCGAATAATAAGAAAAATTCCTTCGAATCGGCTGGATTTGAACTCAAGCACGTTATACTGAAGGCGCTGCTAGTCCGAATCCAGCCGGATCGAAGGAATGTTTTCGTAGATTCGATATGTGTAATGTAATAATAATTTCTGACTTATTCTTCTTTAAAGTCGATAGGTAACCATTTATTTGACCTAGCATTCGGTTCACCGTTACTATATCAACACAAAAGGAAAATTAAACCGTTATGAAATAAATATACAAATGTCTTCACAAACATTGGTATGTATTTATTGAACAATGGTAAGTAGAACCTACAGTAGCAGCACCAAAGGTGTTGGAGAGCTAAGTTAGGTATTCCCGTACGGTGTGTTAAGTGCCATACTTTTTTGATTGCATTATGATATAAAACATTGGAACGTTTTACAGTGAAAATTCGAGCAATTTTAGCGAGATGCAACGCTTCAGGTATAGCGTAGCTATACGCTATATAAATATATAGATATATAAATGAGAAATATATAGATCCCAATGGACCACACGTTACCGCACTAAAATCGTATTTTTGAATGGGATATTCGCCCGCACTGTATGTGGGAACTTGGCCAGAAGCGGATTCCAGGTTAAGAGGTCAAACCCTTTTAACAGTTTTTTTGAAGTTACAGGATGTCTAGATGGAACCCTTTACCCACCAGCCCTGTGGTGAACTTACAGGGCTGGTGGGTAAAGGGGACAACGGGAACATTGCCTATTTCTGCCGCCAAGCATTAATGTGAGCATTACTGTGTTCCAGTTTTGAAAGGAAAGACTGCTGGTAAAATGACAGGCACATGGGACTTCTTAACTTCTGTCTGTCAGGTGTGACGCGCGCAGTGGCAATGCTCCCGAGATCTTTGCGATTAAAGCTCTGAGTGGCACTGCAGCTGTTATGGATAGGCGTGTCGTTTACCTCCAGACGCACGACTTGTTCGTCCCATTACTTGGGTTCATAAAAAAAAAGCCACTGGGTTCACCACGAAGTCCCACTAACTCCTTGTCACCAGTTTGACATTCATGATGATAAAAAGAAATAAAACACATTCACGTAAGATACATTTTAATATCGTCTCGAAATATCAATCACAATCCAACATTTTAGATCATTAATTAATTAGTAAGTGTAAAATTTTTAATTTTAGATCCACCCAAAGTATTTTCAATATTCATCTACTAAAGTGTTAATTAATGATATAGCAATACTAGCTATGGTCACAATGGCGCGAAATCGCCACGAGATTTTAAATAAAACTATATGTAATTTATTATATTTTTTATTAGATATTGTTATATTTCCTTGTAATGAAACAAATTCATATATATAGAGGGTTGTATGAAAAATGCTAACAACAACCTCGCAAGACTATATCATGCACCATTTTATTTTCCTACAAAAATAAATATTTAAATAGAACGGTGAACTCAAACGGTGATTACTGTGCATAACCCAAGACGGGGGTGGAAGTCATCTGAGAGGACGCTTGCACGTTTGAACTTACAACCTTACTACCAAATACAGATGTAATAAGTGTCGTCCTACAAGGTTGTTAGTATTTTAAAAATAACCCTGTACACATTCTACTGTCTGTCATCACCATTTCAATCTTGAAGCAGTTGATAATATTGATTATACAGTGATAAAAGTTGAAAAAACCTAATATAAAAAATCTGCAACAAACACCTCGAGAAATTAGTAAGATCTGCTGACTTGGTCTGAAGCTCAGTGGTAGAGCTTTGGCCCTAGTTTGGCATACAGACATAGGTTCGAGTCCTGCCAGGTCAAAGGAATTTTCTTTGTGTTCGATTTTTGCATTAATAATAAGTAATAGCAGTTGGTTATTTGTTAATTTCTATACACCCTGAAATTTAATACACCTGATAACTTTTAAAGGATAATATAATAATAATGGTATCCATATCTTTCAATACGAACAATGAAGTAAGTATCCCTGTTACACCTTTCACAAACAATAGCAGTTGTTCCATAAAATATTTCCCCTCCTTGCCCGTGGACCACCTCTCTGGTCCACCTGTGTGGACCATTTCATATATATATTCGACCGAAGTCTACATTAAAGCGTTTTCGTCTGACAGGCGATAGCCGTCTTAATGCGACAATGTGTAATGCTATATAATGATTCCTTTTTTTAAAGACGACAATATTTTGTAGTGAAACTACGCAAAGATTTAAACAAATACAACAAGTACAATCAATTAGTTTTTCTAAAATTCCATTATATCTTTAATTGTCAAAATTTACATTGTATGATCGATTGAATCGCCATCGCAAGACCAATTTGCTACTGTGTGACCGTAAGTTTAGATTTCGTGATTTTTGTATCCTAACGTCATTAGACTAATCAATCATCATTAAATAGCTAGATACAATCTCTATTTCAATAAAATACACTTAGTTAATAAGGCTTTTATATTCGATACGGTCAGCAGTAAAAATAGCATAACTCTATTTTGGTAAGTACAATCAACGTCTGATCTGATGATCTGAACAGTGAAACGAACCAAGTTTAATATGTCTAGTATCCAAAGCGGTAAATGATTTTTATCTGCACGTTCCGGGTGCTTCAAGTGTTTGTACATATGACCAAATCAACCTTGTCTCAATATCAACGAATTCATCGTGGTCTGAATTGTAAGCTCTTTATATGTTGATAATATTAACCATTTTGGAATATTAATTGGTTACCAATTAAGTAATTTTGATTTATTTATTTATATTCAATAGTGCGAATGGGCTCACAGCTAGTCCAAATCATTTGACATTTGAGTTTGACTGCACTTACTCGAAATGAAATAGATTTACGAAATGCAAAACGTAGTTGTTCGCATTCCAAGGAACTTATTTATAATGCGTGGGAGTCGATAGAGAAGCGTTGATATGATTTACGATCTATTTCGACTGCTGAACATACATATTGTAAATAACATTAGCTTCAGATAAATAAGTGAGATCGGGAGATCATACTCCGTGTTAGATACTTAAAATAGTTCTACTAAGTATAAATCTACATATCTTAATACTATTAGGCATCTATATTAGGAATAGATCGATGCTGTAGAAATTGCTCTACTTATAACCTACAGTACACTTTGGTGTTTTAGTTTCAGCCTTGTGTTGCCGTTGGTGCTAGGCATCACATTTTAATTTAATTTCTAATAGGGCGGCAGCAGTACGTAGGAACTCGATATTTAAACTCATGTTCATATTCACATGTTTAATGGATATTAATTTCTTTACAGGATTTACTTCACGTTATTGAAATTATTTTATTTAATTCGACTAAAAACAGTGTACGACGAATTAATCGGCAACAATACAAAAATTTAAAAGATTGGAAAACTAACCAACAATGAAAAAAAAAAACATCAATTATAAATCATTTTGTTTTTCTCGCTAATTGGTTGATTAGCTTTTTGCTTGCTAGCTGTACCGGTGTAATCTTGTATTTTCTTCTGAAACTTGTTATGGATATTAGCAATCATCAGGAGAATTATTTGACTTTGGCTCGTTACAAAAATATAATTAGTGTACTGTGTCACATTGACCGGAGCTGAACGTGGAGTTCCAAGAAGTAGACGTTATTTAATCTAATCACAGGCTGTGTGAACAGCATCGCATCTAACTTAGGCCATTTTGATTTTTTTGTGAATACGTAAATGAGTTCAATTATACTTGGTAGGTATGGTGTAACATAAAGTAACACGGATTCGGGGCGTTTAAAAGTTTGAAATTATTCTATGCATTTTCATTATTTAAAAAAATATAGCCAATAACAAGTACATAAGAGCGAATTTTAGTTTTGATGTTTAAATTTGATTAAGAAGAGTTCTATTTCGATAAAAATAAATAAGTATATAATCTAATGAATCTCAATTTGGATTTTAAAGTTACATGGTCGGATTATCGAGTTCGCTACCTGTTTCTTACAATACAGATAACATTGGCCTCGTGAACTACACTGGTGCAGTAAAATTGTCGAGTGCAGTCGAGAACCATTGTCATGTGGGCCCAGAGTCGATAATTGTGTTATTCTCCGTCGCCCAAGTTAGGTTAAAATCCATAGGGGTGGGAGAAAAATCTGTGGAAGTGGGAGGTGAGTCAGCAGGCGCGTTGGTTTCAAGGCTGGTGTAGTTAGGAGTAGACGATGTGGTGTCACTCATTGAGGTATTGCCTCCTCCTGTGAACAAATGACAATTGTTATGGTATTTGTACGTACCATAATTAGATACTGTATTCTAATATTTGAAAAAAAAAAACAAATTTACAGTATTCTTAGCACACATTGAATGGTTTTTAACTAACAACCACATTTGTGTAGTGTTGGAATTGAACAAAAAGCCTTATTGTTATTTTAGTCCAATTACATTGATGTATTTATGTTAAAGTCAAGGGTAGGGATTTAATGATTTTGGCTTAAGAACCTTTGTATATTTAAATTAATCGGATTTACCAGCGCTAACACTACCTATACAACACACACTGTTTCTGTATGAATGTCCGATCAGTATCAGTTCCGAAACCGAGAAATGATGGTCCGAAGTAGTTATAGTAGGTACCTCTATTCGTATGATAGATTGCGCACTAAATCCGAGGCAGTCGCAGCAAAGTCGCAGAGGGATGGAAGGAACGAACAGGCGTCGATACATATCTGACGTATGTTAACCAAAACGCGGCTATGTGACAAGAATTTTTAAGATATCATAAAAGACCATAACCCAGTTTTAGAATATTCAAATTGTTTAATGATATTTTAGCTATGTATATGTATAATTAGGGTAAGTTCCGATATGTCCGACTCGTTAAATAACTTTAACTGTTTTGAAATAGAGAACTTTGAGCTGTAGCTTATGCTATTTAAAACGGATGTTTGACCACTTGTCACTTTGCCGCGTTTTCGCTATTCATCACATTTTACTTTACTACTGATTCATCACTCTAAATCATAATTTCGCAAAGTGGTCCCTACCGCCCAGCGCTGAAGAGCCCTCGGGGGGATGCTGTCCAGAAGGTGGTACCGCATTTGGAAAAAAGAAACCTGATTTATGTATACATATAACTGAATTAACTACCCTATAATTATATTAACACAAAATAACTATAAGGAAAAAATAATATATATTAATAATAATAATATATATATAATATAGGGTAGTTTATATATATATACATATATATATATATATATATATATATATATACTATTATATATATATTATTTTTTCCTTGTGGTTTTTTGTGTTAAGTTAATATAAAATATACGTGTTTTAATTTATTTTTTGTGGTCATGTTCGTTGCAATTTTTTTATCTTGCCTAAGTGGGCGGTGAGCTAAAAAGTTTGGGAACCTATGTTCCAAATGATGATAACTCTGCAATCGCAGGAGCGCGGGTGGGGGTCGTCGAGGAGGACGCTTGCACGTTTGAACTTAGGTACTACCAAATACGGATCTAAAAAGTGTTAGATCAGATAGTACAACAAAAACTTAAAAGTTTATTTTTGGTAAATTTATTGTTTTGAAAAAAAATATGGAACGAAAGTTATTATTTATGGTGCTAGTAAGAGTAATAGGTATCTACGAAGTTGTTAGTACATATTTGACAAATAACCCTTTATAAAATGAAATCAAACCCATTCCGTAATAAATTAATAATTATAAAATTTCTTGCTATCTTATTCATCGTGGTTATTATAAAATGTTCCTATCAGGAGAAGGTGCACCTAGAACAATTTATTTCTCCTGCGTTTTTGTCCCTACGTCCAATAACAATGCCAAAAGTTGACGGCGATTGAAAGAATACAGCCATAACGACTGAAACGCTGTATTCAACACAGCATCAGAATGGTCAGAATTGTGAATGTCTAGGTGTACAGTTGCTATATCCATACTGTCCATACGGGATTGCAGGAACGCAGTGCACGTGGGACATTTGAATTCGGCCCAAGTTCTGTAGATCTGTACGTTCTCGAATTCGATTTGAATGCGTAAACGCTCTTATGTATTCTTTTATGCATTATATTCTTTGTTGTCATAACAGCAAACTACTTTTTGTTTTTCGTACGTTATGCCATAATTTAGTAATCTGTAAGTACGTATGTGATACGAGCCTAACTTGAGAAATAATGCATAACTTCGTAATTCAAAGTTATACAGTCACTTTAGAAAACCTCAACAGCTAGGTTTAAAAATATTTGTAGCGAACGTAACAAGAGCTTACGGATACATTGGTAACATAAATCTTAGGGCCGTAAAAATCTCGCTTGGTTATCGTTCGAGTCAGTTTTACGACCGATTTCGAATTCAGTGTAGAAGCATTTATTTACACTTCAACCTGTCCGTAAAATATGAAGTCTGTTTGCTAAAACGTTTTCCGAAGTTTTACGTGAACATTTACTTAGAACCAAGACATGCGTTTTTAATTGTATATTTTAGTTTTCATGGAAATTATACAAACTGTACCTACACTAATCTATCGTTATAGTCCCTATAATTACAAACCAGAAATCGCCAAAAGCAGTTTCATAAGCAACTGCCTGCCCTCGTATTGATCTGAAATAAAACCCGATTTTTAAATATCTAAAATACAAAACAATTTTTCATATTGGCTATAGAACATTTAATTAGACACTCGTGCCGGTTGAGATTATGTAATTTCCTATTGGATAACTTAGTTAAAATAGTCTGCAAGTTGTTGTGAAAAAAAAACCTGTTGTAAGTGATAAAAGACAATTGAAGATAATCTCAGTACAGAGTACTAAAAAACCGACCTCCCTTAGAGGTGGAATATTCTCTTCAAATTTAAATGGGACCACATCTGAGGTATACTCTTTCCAACAAAAAAAGAATCATGAAAGTCGGTTCACAAGTGGTTTTCGCAGTAACATACATACAAAATACGTATACATTCGAATTGAGAACCTCCTCTTTTTTTTAAGTCGGTTAAAATTAGGACCACACTCAAGCTAGACAAACTTATGCACACAAGTGCTTAGAATTCATTGTGAGACGCATAGAACATTGTGAACACATAATAAACAAAGACAAACAACATTGTAATGCGCAAAACAGAATGTTTTCTTCTAAAACAATTGCAACATTCAAAAGTTTAAAACCCTCAAGACATTGCCAATTCTCATTTTAATCTCACCTCAATGTTTGACAATGTTGACAAACAATTCTCTTAGTTTTGTTCTACTTATGGATGTTCAAACACATCGAGTGTCAACAAGAAATTGGAAGTTACTGCAATAAATGTTGAAAATAAAACTATTTTCTCAGATCTAAGTGGCGTTGGTATAGTTGCTTTTATAATATCAACTAAATAATATTTGTTTCAAACAAACCATTTTTTCGGGCCCTTTACGCCGACTTTCCATTGTGTAACAATCATGAAAACCTAAGAACTCAATAAATATTGATTTATTATTCACGAGTATCGCGAGTTCGTCAGCAACATTTGGCTGCCAATCATAGCTATTAAGAAATAGTGACTAATAACCTGGCAATAACACACGATTCACTGGAAGTTCGTAACTTCAATAATAAGTCTTTTGTCAACCCATAAACGTACTGAGTACCGTGGGTTTGTTACGTAAGGTCGAAACACTTTTGTGCTAAGCTTATTTGCGCGAAGACGCTTAACTGACCACACAAATAGTCGATGATTCAATTTATCGAATACTCATTAGGTCTAAAACGTTCATGGTCAAATACATCACATAATTGTGTTATTTTCACCATAAGCCATTTTAGTACAGATAAGGACAAAAACAAGACACAACATAGGCAATTTACATATTTGGGACTAGGGGTTACAACCGGGAAATCCCGGTCTCGAAAGTACCGGGAATTCCCGGTTCTTTTACTATAATGAGAGAACCGGGAAGTCAAAATTGTTTTCCGATTATTTCGGTACTTTCGGGTATCAGCGTCGATTGATAATGTAATTTTGGTTTTAATTACGGCCCAAGACACTTTGAACCTTTTTCGCTGTCGAACTAAACGCCGAATGCGGGCGGGTGAAGGGTGTAAAACGCCCCGCAGAGCCGCGCCGAGCCCAAAAAGCTCTTCGTAATAAGACCTGAGATTTGTTCGAGTAAGTAACAACAGTAAGGTTTTATAGTATGAAGTTATATATATTTTGTATTAGTAAGTTTTTTTAATTTTCAAAGATTTAGAATAAATAACTAATCAGTAAGTTAAGCTTAAAAGACTGACTGTATAATAATTTTAACAGTAATTTCATAAAGATTTAAGATCTGATTCAATGTGATTTATCTTTTCCGCAAAAGTTCTTTTAAATATTTTAAATTTCATTTCCAAGAATAAGTAGGCTGAAATTATAAAATTAAGTAGACTGATGTGTACTACGTTATTTTCTATAAAATAGCTCCAATATTCATCGTTTTTACTTTTGAAAACTATCACTTTGCTAACCCGTCGAGTAATATTGCCTACTACTATCACCATTGTATCACCATTGAACAACAACTAATCCCGGGGAAATCCCGGTTCCGTTGAAGATTAGTACCGAAATCCCCGGTACCGGAATCCCTGTTCGCGAAAAAACCGTTTCGTAAAAAAACGCCCGCTGTGGAAAGAATGCCGCCGACTGAGCGCGCCTGTTCGGATCCGCCGTCGCCGGTCGGTAACTTTGAAGGCGTGTGGTGCGAAAGCGCGCGCGGCCTATGTTCTCGATACAAACCCAAATACGCATCGGGGCTCCACGCGGCCCAAGGCCGCCCGGACAAATGGCGCGTTTAACATCACGGGCCGTAGAACGCACCCTAATTTAGAAAAAAAATGGATACATACTTTTGCCTGTAACTGTACCTACGTAGTCTATTTTTATTTTAACAATAACTAAAAGGAACTATAGTTTTCTTTCTGTTACATTCTTCTGTTTGAAAACAGTTGATGTACAGGTAGGTACCCAAGGCAGCAATAAAAGTTTTAAATAGGTCTCAGTAGAAAAAATATAAAGATCAAATGAACTATGTAAATTGAATAATCGATTATTGGAGAGGTCAAATGAGACCGTACAAACAAACTTCGCACGAATCTTGAGTATGCGTATAATCTTTAATGGATGAATAAAGTTATTTTATTATTATGATATTAATATATAATATTATAGATGGATAGATTTGTATTTGACAACTACAGATAAGTTGTATTATT